GACAAAGGGACGCTAGGGATACCAAACAACAAAAGCACACCCAGATTGGGTGCCCAGGTGTTTGTCCTTTGGGGCCTCAGCGGCAGCAGCATCCCCCAGTAACTTGGAATTAAACACTGCCACTTTGGCCATGGACATTCGGGGAGCTAAGGAGCCAGGGATAGCTAAAGATCTGAAGGGCCCGGGCAAACATGGGGAACTGGCCCCTGGGCATTCTGTGGTAAGCAGCTTGGCCGGGTGCGACGGGTTCCTTTAAGGAGCTGTTACGCCCCCGAATGGATTTTTTCTTTGTTGGAGGGGTTTCAGCCCAAACTCGTACGGCCTGGTGCCTGTTTCCCCGCTGGCCACGTTGTCGGCGCTCAGCCGGTTGCAACGGCTCCCTTTTTCTATCGCCGGTTGCAACTGGCGCCTTTGGCCTTGGATGTAGGTATTCATGCGTGAGGACAACGTCAGCAGGCGCGGGAAGCCGCGGACAGGAATTCGGCTGAGGTGATCATCTTCAATAGGTCCATGGGTCCATGTTGGCGAACCTCAAAATAAAGGATCGCCAAACATGGACCAGAATCCGACGCATACATTTGGGCTTGGGGGCGAGAGCTGAGGTGGGTTTCCTTTGAATGTCTTTGCCCTTTCAGGGGGTCTCTTTGTTCCAAGAACTTGAATCGAAAGGTGAGACAGGCGAACTGCCCGGGCTCAATCAAGCGACTTAGAATGCCTGGGGTGCGGACAAGATGTTGCGGGAATCTGCGCAATCATCCAACCAGTCAGAGGGTTTTTGGTCAAGGTTTCCAACTGGGATCCTGGCCCTGGGCCCGAAAGTCCAAAGGCCAGGTTCTGAGTATGGAGTTTGGCTGTTTCTGTTGTGTCCCTACAACTGGAGGAGAGGTGGGCGGCAAATGTGTTGAGTTTGAAGCTTGGGAGATCAGGGGTGTGTAAAGCATGGTGTGTATTGGGTGCAGTGCGTTCTTTAGGGGGTCTGAACGCCCCAAAGAATTGCCATCTACTTTAGCTGCGAGATGCCAGGTGTGAGACCGGAGCACCAGGTATGGTACATATAGTCATATAGTCATTTGAAGTGCAAACGGGTGACGCAAAATGTTTGTCACGCCGCGGAATCCGAGCCAAGGCATAGACGCAGAGGGGAATATATGGAACCCTGTCATAGATTTCCATGTACCCTATCAACGAATGTTGTCTTTTGGTTTTCTTTTTCCGCTGAGTTTGGGACGATTTTAGCATTAAGGGGCTTCCTCAGATGCTTCCTCGTTCCAATGAGTTCGCCTTCAAAGCCAGCCAAAAGAAGGTTCCAACCAAATCCAAAGACATGCGAAACGATCATTGGCACCCTTTTGCTTGGGGTTATGGTTGATGCGCTCATGAGAGAAAGATTCCGAAGGCAGGCAACAGATTCGACCAGGCCTTCAAGTTCTCAGAATCGTTCGCCTGGATTTCTTCGGAGCCCGAGAGGCTTTGGCATATCATTCATCTTCCCCAGAATTAGCTCCCCTTTTTTTGCTTTTTTGGGGTCCCCTTTGTTTTCCACTAACCAGGCAAAACAGTTTTTTTTGCTGGGGTCCTAATTCCAGCCTAGTCATTAAGGTTCTTTGCATCCATGGAGGTTCAAAGAAGTGCATGGTTTCCATTCGCCTTGAGCACCGAGAGGGCTCCCACCTAACCACCAAGTATGTTGGGAAAAAGGGTAACCCTTTGTGTCCTTGCAGTTGAGTTACGGGAATGTAAACAAGGGCGAGGTCATGTGTGGTATTGATTTCTGCTCGAGTGCTTTGACCCTTGGCTCCCGGCTGCGGTGTTGACCTGAAACCGAAACATGAACAGAGTGAAACGTGTTGATACTTATCCCTAATCTACCATCATTGTTTAACATATGTCACATACTGTGGATGGTTGCGAAATCCATTTCGCACCACCTAAGAATCGAAGCCTCGGGGAACCACTGTTTGCTTGGTATGTACAGGGGAATCATCAATCCAGGGTTTCTTAGGTGGTGCGAAATGGATTTCGCAACCATCCACAGTATGGCTCTTTCCCTCCAACTAAAACCAACGGCCGCGCCAGGTACGAGGAGAAGAGTGGGAAGTTCGAACGGACCAAGGAGTGGGTGCTGGACACCGATGGCGCCAGGGGCTCGGTGACGGTTTCGGGTTTCGCGGGATTTGCAGGCGATGGAAGTCAACCCCTGTGATTGGCCTCGGAAAAAGTATGATAGATTTCTGTGTTTGTAGGTTAAAAATGTATACAACCAGGGACCGCAGGTTTTAGTCCTGCTTTCCATTTACCGGGGTTCCATTTTTGGGTACGTAGTTTTGACCAACAGCCATATTTGTCTCAATGTATTTCGGATGTCCACCAACAGGTGCCCCATTCAAGTTCATGCCCGCAGGGGCTTGGCTCAAACTGGATATCTCCCCTTTGGCTTGGCGGGCCTGGCGACGTGGATGTACGGTCGGTTGTCGGAAAGTAGAGAAACCCGGAGTGGTCATTGGTACCCTTGGAGTTCATGTGAATTCTTTACGGCGCTGAAGTGGGTCATTGGTACCCCTTACGGGAAGCACCCGCAGCAGCAACAGCGGACAAGCAGAGTGCACCTTCCACACTGACCTTTTTGCCCTGTGCCTTTCGTGGTTTCCTAAAATGTTCCCTCTTGGCTACCAAACGATTTCTTGCACAATGGACTCTTGCCAAGGTGGAAGTTTTCCATGCGAGCTAGCAAAGGGCACGCTTAGATTCCGTTAGCGGCTCTCCGAAGGCCAAACAATTCCCCGATTTTCTCTCTCGCCCCTTGTCGCGGGTGATTTAATTTCGGGTTGTGGGGCAAGCCCGCCGACTTGGCGGACTTTCGGGTCGCCCCCCTTTTTCTTTTTGCTGCGAGTGGTGGGGTGTCTGGACGTGGTGCCTGTTTCTCCTAGCTGGCCCCCTGGACGGTTTGCGAGCTTCGGTCAGTTTGCTTATGTCATTTTGGGTCAACTTGGGAGGGGGATCACTAAGTCTCCCGCTTAGGGAACTCACTCATGCTGAATGCAACCTCTTCCTCCTCTTCCTCTTCCTCATCCTGAGCAAGCAACATTTCTGGGGCCATCTGAAAGAGTCCATCATTTCGAGAAAGCCTCTCATGGTGGAACAAAATGCTTGCCACTTCCAAAGCGCCAGGCTTCAAGACACAGCCCTGTTGACAGCCAGCTCCCAGAGTTGCTACGTGGGCGGCAGCCCATCCTGCGAGGGCTTCAAGGTCTCATTGTGACAAACACTGGCACCCACACTACTCTCACACTTTCGCCGTTCCGACATGTTGAATGTGCGTGCAGCCTGGGCCGCGGCAACACCAAGAAAAGAGCGTTGGCAGTCGGACAACAAAACGCATCAAACACCTCGCGGGCAACACAGAACAGCCCCTGTCTGCCCTTGGCAGCGCAGCTGCCATTGGTCTGTTTGGAGTGGCTGCAGTCAATGTTCCCTCCACCATCACCCTACGGACCTAGCAACTTGTCAGGTCACCCCAAGTGACAAGGACAAGAAAAGGCTGACAAACATCCAAGTTTGGGTCAACTCGGGTGGGGGATCGCTAAATCTCCCGCGAAGGGAACTCTCTCATGCTTAATACAACCTGCGATGCCAGGAAATAACTCGCCGCGAACGCGAAGCGAGTTGGAGCCAGTTTCGTGTGTGTGTGTTTTCCCCCGGCTGAGGCAAGCACAAGGCAAGTTCTTAGGCCATTGGCTCCTCTTATGGCTGAGTTGTAAGCCATAGGCGTTTTCCAGTAGTGCCCGACCTCTCACCCGTTTCTTTTTTGGTTGCTGAGGGTTCCCCTACTCAAATGGACTTCAGAAAGAAAAAAAGTGAACAAAAAAACAAAAACAAAGTGGTACCCTTATTCTAAACTCTCTACTAGAGGACCTAGCACAGAGAAGCCTGGGTAAATATCCTGGTCAGAATGCACACTGGATCTACTGAAGCAGAGAAAGTTTCGCTGGACAAAAAGCTCTGCACTTGTTGTTTTTGGGTTTGGAGCGAAGTGTGCGTTGCTGTGGGCCAGATTGAAAAAGCGCACGGATAGACAAAGTCATTGGAGTGGTTGCCCGAGTTTTCCTTGGCCAACCATGTAAAAATTGCCCCCGGTCTTTGAAGCAATCACTGATGTGAGGTCTACTTGGCTTGCAGAAGTCTATTGCACAAACTCAGGGAGGTCTCGTGCACGACAATTGGTTTTCAGTCTTGCTCAGGTGAACATGGAGGAGGTGATGCTCTTGCCGGAGGCTTGTTTGGGCAGTCAAGCAACCGTGTCTTGCCTTTCCTCTGCAAATCGACATAGGTTTCCCGAAGGAACTTCCACCTAGACTTGCGTTCTTGTTGGTTTTGGGCTTGATTTTGTCGGAGAGCAAACCAAGAGACCAAGACAGTATTTGTTTGCATGGCCACTTTTGTCTATGTGGGCGACGTAACTTCAGGCAACTTCCGTCACTTCCAGAGAGCTTTTCCAGTGGGGTCAAGGGATGGATTTCGGCATGGTTCAGGATGGACGCTGCCAATGATCTCCGCGGTTGAAACTCGGAGGATTTTCCGGATTTACAAAAGGAAGCCAAACAAGCTCCTGGATTTGTCTCGGCTTGTTTGTGACCCATGGATTTGGGTTCCATATCAATTTGAAGGGGAGAACTTGGGGGGATGGTCATGGACAACTTTGGGACTTTGGGGAAAAACCAGTGGAGAGATTTTCTGGCCCAAGCCAAGCGTAGGGATTAGCTTCTGGAGAAGTCCGCTCAGATGTGAATCCGTGGTTGATTTGCGGAGGGAACTCCAATGTGAATCAATGGCACTGAAATCATGCCTCTATTTGCCGCCTGAGTTCGTGTTTCGTTTTTTTTTTTTTTTTTGTTGGGGTGGGGGGACACCTGAAAAACCGCTGGTTGTCCTTTTGGTTTCCCTTCAAAGGCTTCGCGCCCAACCACCGCACTCACATCTCTTGGGTAGTATCAGTCCCGCTTAGCAGCTTTGGGCTCTCAGACCGGCCAGCGGTGCTCGGCGATCGACGCCTTTTCCCGGGATGAGCCACTCAACCGCAACCAAAGCGGAACTACGTGGTTGACACCACCCCGTTCAAGTGGGGAACCTATAAATTTGAGGTGGCTTTAATGGACTGGGTGTTGAAACCATCATGTTTGCGCAGGGGGTTGGCTTAACCCTGTATTATGCATTGGTTTGTGGAAGACTGGAGCTTTAGAGCGTTCAGAGCCAGTGTCGGTGATACGGGAATCGGGTGATGTTTGACAACATCAAATATGTTTGACCTGTTCGCCTTTCAGAGTCCCATTGTCAAGATCTCAAAACAGCCTTCGCCCCTCGGTACCTTCTCATGAGGCATCAAATGACCCCTGTGATGCAAAAACAAACTCAAAGGGTAGCACGTTCGGCAGCTTTGGGCTGTTCAGTGGGGTGTTTCTCTAAATTGGGGATCGCTCCTTATGGTTTCAAAGGGAAACCGAAAGGAACCCGAGCTCCGGTCCCCAATTTTGAGAAACAGTCTGTGTTTTTGTTCCCCCTGTTCTCACTCGAGTTCCGTTCGATCAGAGGCAACACACATTGCCCGCCTATCGGCTCGATCAGCTTTTGCCCATGGGCTTTCAACGGGGATTTCTCCAGGGTACATTGGCCGAAAACGCCAAGTGGAACCTGAAGTGGCCTTAATCTTGTTTTTGGAGGCGCCGGTAGCGGAGATCCTTCTGGGGTAAAGGAACCCAACAGGAACCGCGAAGCCGTGTTGGGACTTCGAATCCCAAACAAAGGGAACACACCCACATGCGTGCTTGTGTTTGCCTACTAGCCCTCAAACCACACTAGTAGGAGTGCTCGTTGTGCTTTTCGCGCACGTCCTTTGCATTCCCACGCGCGCCCGCTCAGCGTTTCGCGAGCGCCTGCCAAGTGGAAAGCACGCCCGCTCAAGCGCCCTTTGGCTGAGCAGACGTCGTCCACTTGACAAGCGCAACGAAAGCGCCCTCCCAGCGTTTCGCGCACGCAGCAAGGGGAGAAGTGCTCCCGCACAGCGCTGCAAACACGTCTGCCAACGGCTCAGCGCACAGGCTGAAGCGCGCCTGCTCACCGCTGCGCAAGTGCCTGCCATGTTCTATTCGAAACACAAAGCAACCTCAGAACTTGCCCTGTTTTCCGGGCGTGGGTTTCCCAATCGTGTGAGCATTTCGCTTAGGCGGAATGCACGTTTTCTTGGCGAAAGTGCACTTAGCTGAGCGCCGCTTCTCGGGCGGCGGGTGTTTGTTTTTGTTTTTAGCCAGGCAAGCTAGAAAGGGGACCAGTCCATCTCTCAAAATCAGCCACCTACATCACCAGTTGCTGCTTTGTCTGTTCACTTTACCCAACAAAAACAGCAACAGTGACTGAGAAAAGCGATCGCAACGTGACTATCTAGGCAGGGGTTGATTCATCCAGGGTCACCCCCGAAGTCGTGGGTTAAAGGGAAACAAACCCCATTTACTAACTTTGATAGCCTCCAGAAGCCGTCAAAATAATGGCCCCAGGGATGAACTCCATTGTTTGCCTATTTCACTGTGGGAGCCGTGAGAGAGCCGTGTGCCAGAGGCAACAGCTGGGGTGTGGCCAAGCCGAGTGCTCTGAACTTGCGCTATGAGACCTCGGGGCCGCAGGGAGTGCCTTGGAAAGGATCCGAGTCAGGGGGGGGCAGGGGGAAACCGAGCGAAAGTTGTTAGTCTGCGCTTACTCGGCATGTTTGTTTTTGATGCCGGTGTTGGATGTCTGTTTTCCCCTCGTCGGGACCAGAGGTCCTTGACTTCACCCAAGCTTTGATGTGTTTTCCATTTTTCGAGGACCAGAGGTATCCAGAGGTGTGTAGTTTCCCCAAGCATTACCCAGATTGCTTCTTGGTACCCTATGAGTTGGTCGCATCTTGGATCGCGTTGGCCATGATGTGTAAAAGGCGAATCCTTTCCCTTGCGGATTTGTGAGTTGATGTGAACGTCAAACATGTTTTTGGTGCCGTAGGTGTCGAGATGTGCTTCAGGTTTGGGTCAATGATAGACTTGTTCCCTTCAGCGGCGGGTTGGGGTACTTTTCATTTCAAAAAACAAGGGGGGGGTTGATTAGATTTTCTAAGGAGCCCTGCGGGTCAAAAAGTGACAATTCCCCAAGTCCATGAACTCCCGGTGCCTCGTTCCCATGGTCACAACTTTGGGTCGCATTTGGTGTTTGGGTTCGAACAGCTTTGATGAGTTGGGTTACAACCCCCGCTTCTTGTAGGAACATCCAACATTCCTTATAAAGCCTAGGGCGGTGCTAGGCTCGCTTTCTGCGACCCCTTGAAACGTTGAAAGTGACGAACACATCAGGATGGCTTATTTCCTGCCACCCAACCCTGTCGCTTCATTGAGGCCCCCAAAAACCATGAACTCAGTACATCCTTCCATGGTACCGCCATGGTACCCTGGTTTCAAGTCGCATCTCGAGGTTCTTAATTCATGACTCACCTGACTTCAAGGCCCAACCCAAAGGGCGCCTAATCCATACTTTTTCTTATGTAGTTTGGGTGTTTGTGGTTCCTAATTCATTGTCTATACCCCAGTTTTGAGGGCCCCTTGCCTTCGAACCTCCCTGCTGTTCCTTCTTTGGCCGGGTGAATTCATGTTTTTAACCTCAGTTTTGGGGTTTTGGGGGCCCTTGCGTTGCGAGCCTCCCGCCTTTTCATGGTTGTTGTTGAGAAACATTTTACATGTTAGCTCATTGTGATTTAATGGGAAATCCCCATGTTGACTCCCCTTCCAACGTCAACCAAGTTTCAAATTTCGCCGGTGAGGGGGGCTTCATCGTGTGCAACAACAAGAAGTTCTGCGGGGACTCGCTGGGCCGGCCCTCGGGCCGGGATTTGGTGGAGATCCTGAACTCGGTGCTCACCTGCATCCCGCCTGCAAAAATGACTCGCAGGGTCTACACGGTTCTTGGCCTTTTGTTTTAGTTTTTGGGTTCTGTTCATTTTTAGCAGGGAGGGGGGGGCGCCTTTTTTTTTGCCTCTGGTCATTTGTTTTTTTTTGGTTGGCTGCAAGGAACAGTCAGGTTTGTTGCAAGCATACCAAGGGTTGTGAAGGGGTGAAAGCCGTTTCCTAGGATTCGGACCTTCGCAAAATGAAAATGCCCAACATGGCGCAACGGTTATCCTTTTGGCCTCCCTTTAAACGGGGTATACCCTCAAGCAAACTGACGCAGCCAGGTGAATAATCCGTTGCCCCTCTTTTAAAACAAGGCCCCGCCCCCCGCCTCCAATTTGAGGCAAAACATGTTTTTTCGCATAGGGGGAAGGCCTTCACCCAGGTGATGTTGCTGCGAATGGCTGTTGATTTCAAGAGGCCCCTGCCATACTTATTCAGCTGAGAGGAGTACATAACGGTCATATTATGTGCCTGAAGAAGTAGAATCATTGAATGGGACTGGACTTTTTGCATTGTGGGTGAACTGCAAGGGACTGACGTTGTACTTGACTTGCCTTACGGGCAAGTTATTTGGGGGGGATGCCTTATGGAGGGCGGCAGGATGTTCATTGGAAGACGACGTTCCTTCAAGCACCAAGCCATGTGCGGACGTTTCTGGGGCTGCAGCCTGCTTTTTGGGCCGTAAATCCACAAAAAGATGTGGCGAAAAATCGGGTAATGTTGACCACTGATTAGTCGACCCCAGTTTATTCACAGGGGTGTGTCCCTAAGTTTGGGGATTCAGACCATTTTTGGAGGGGCCCCCACCCCCCTATTAGTGCGATGGGGTTATCAATCTGGGGTCAACATGACTAATGAATTTGTCAAGCCCAGTTCAGTGTGGCACACACACACACATATTTCCGAGTCGACTTCACGCAAGGTGTAACCAGCCTTCCCCGATCATGAACGAAAATAGGGTACCCCATGTTTCAGGTGACTCTTAGTTGGTGGTTTGGATTGGTGGTTTGGGATTTCAACCCTTGGTTTCTTGTAGAGGGCAACTGGAGGGGCAACCTGAGCAGAGGCCCCGTTTATTAATAGTGTGTGTCTCTGGGTTTGGGGCATTCAACAGAAGATGGTGTAGCCGACCTTTACCAATCATGAAAAGAACATCGGGCCAACTGGTTTAAGGTGACTTTTAGTTGGTGGTTTGGATTGCTGGTTTGGGATTTGAATTGCTGGGAAACCCACCCAATCCACCACTTTGGGGGCTGCAAGGTAACCAGAGCTGGGCACAGCACCCGAGCTGCACGAGAGCTTCGGGAGATCTCGAGAGTGACAAAAAATCGCTTAGCGTCTGTGTTCCGTTTCAGACTTTAGTCACTTTTCTGGGCAGGTATTCTTTTTGGGGTGGGATTGAAGGGAAACCAAAAGGAACCTATGTTTTTTGGTTTCCCCTATTTTTGGGACTATGGTTAGAATATAGCCTCCTAACACTGGACCATTTTCGTGGCAAACAAAAAGTTCCTTTTTGTTGGTCCATCAATGCAGGAAGTGAGAACATGGAGGTGTGCAATGGATTCCTTTCATCAGGAACTCTGTTTCCAGGACCCCCGTTGTTCAGTGGCACCCGCAACAAAATATTGTTCTTGGTCGATTGGTTTCCAAAAAATGTGTTCAGCCCCCTTTGCTACAAATCAAAGAGGGGTTTCTCCGAGCCTCTACCAGCTGATGCAGGTTCCATTTCCGTAAGCCAGTTGTTCAATGGCACTCCTCCCTGGTTCCTTGCATCGACCCGCAAAAGGATACCCTTTTCTCTACACTGGTCGCTGGGCGGCCGGGAGAAGTTATCAAGGCGTGATCTGTGAGCTTTGAGCTTTTTCATGACTATTTTATACAACTGAACCTGTTGCAAATGTGCTTCTGCTTTGCAATACCCGGCTACCATTGTGTTTTCGGCTCTTTCTTCACGGGTATGCATTGTGCAGGAGCTAAACAGGGGGCCAAATCAAGACATGGTCAGGTTTTGGAGTGTTGGACTTTGGACTACGATCTGTGGACTCAAAACGAGACTTCCCTAAAGGATGATTCCACGGAAAACATGTTTATGCATCTTGGGGGTCCATGTCGGTTTGCGGAGTAACCATGTTATCCAGGCTCAGGGCTGATGTCGAGTTTCAACAGTTTCAGTTTTGAAGTCACTAGGGCCGACTGTTTCCAACACGCTTGACTTTGAAATGAGTGCTTCTCAAAATGGATAAACCGGATGCCCCTTTTGGTTGGTATTTGAACTTACAAACCATTTTAGAGGATCACTATTTTGAGAAACCCTCAAATGAGAGGTAGAGCAAACCGTTTTGGAGTTCCTTTTCGTGGTTTTCCGGTGTTTCGTATTCAGACCCTCCCATGCGCATATCACACTGGTCTCTCGTCAGCGCCTGGAAATAAAGGGAGACCAAACGGAGAACAGAGAGAAACCCGAAGGAAGGATACCAGCCATCTTTAACTCACTTCCTGATTCATGGACTTCAGTCACTTTGTGGGTTTGGACCATTTAGTGGTAAAACAAAAAGTTTGGATTTGTGTCGCGCTATCCACTCAGGCAGTCAGTTGCGGGGTTGCTTTGGTGTTCTCTTTTTAAAAAGGCGACATGTTGTGTCCTTATATCAAACATGATTCCCCGTAGAGGGGATGACGTTGCGGACAAAAAATATCATGCGTCAGCTCGGTTTGGGACAATTATTTGGTGCATTTTGCCAAGGGATGTTAGGACTTCAACTTGATGCCAATTGGTTAGCATTTAGCCCACTAAAAGTTAGTCACTTTGCGCCGGGGAGTAGAAAGCAACCGAGTTCAAGTCCCGCTAGTTGTTGTTTCATGTTTGTGCTGTTTGTTGCTTTGTTTCAGGGTTAGTTCTGTTGTTTTGTTATTTTGGGACATGAGACAAAACGTGGGTAGCTGACGAGGAAGGGGCGGTTTGGGACAATTGGTGTTGACCCTTGGAGGTATTTCGACCAGACTGTGGAGAAGATCTTCGACGCAGTTGCTCAGCCGCAGTGGGTGGATTTCAGTTGCTGAATGTTGGTGGCGGCATGTCCGAGACATGCTGCAAGTTTGTCGTTTGTGTGTCGTTGTTCATTTTGATCAACACACATAAACATAAACAATATGTTTGTGTTGTTGATAAACTCTATCTGGAGTTGGTCGTTCCCATGAAACACCTATCACACGTTTGTTTTTCTTTTGCTGAGCTATCAGCCTGAAGGTTTCTGTTGCATGGCCGATGTTCCAAAGTGGAGATGTGGGCGATGGGCCGCCCGAGTTTCGGTCGGCTGGGTGTGTTGAGGGTGTGTCAAGGAACTGATGCACATGCCAGCATGTTCACAGGATCCCAATCACCCCGTCGTTTCTTTATCAGGGTCATTTGGTCCCTGAGTGGATACCAAATGACACCTCACTCTTCACCCCCCATAACCCAACTCATGACCCCTCACTCTTCACCCCCAAACAAAACCACTCAAACCAATTCTGCAGTCAATGGCCCCTCCGAAACCGGAGACGTGTCCCCCAAAGACTCGGACCCCGGCCCCGCCCAACTCCACCTCCAGCCTGGCTCAAGGTGTCGCCATCGCCCGGGCGGCCGGAGCCTCGCAAACCGGAAGGCGACATGGGACCGGGGGGGGGGGGCTTTGGGGGGGGTGGCAAACGGGAGCCAGGTCGCTCTGACGGGCGAGTTGATCCATGTTTCTTAGGAGCATGTCTTATTTTGTCCCTAGCTGTTGATTTTAAAGGGAATCTATCACTACCGGAGAATGGTATGTTTTCCAGGGGACTTAAGCAAATGGCTGGTTGGTTAATTGGTTAGCTGTTAGCTATAGCTAGATGGGTGTGTTGTTTTGAGGAAAACCAACAGGATCCGTTGTCCCAAACCGACCTTGTGACCTTTTGATTCTTTATGTTTAGCGGTCCCAAAAGGTGATCCATTCTCATGTCCGGGTCCCAAAAAGGCAAGGGTAGTGGGTAAGTAACAACAGGCTGTTGGCCACAGCTTGATGATTAGTCAATTAGTTTGCTGGTACCCAGAAGACCCCTGGACCCTTTGTTTGTTTCTCTTTTTTCGGGATTCAGATGGGCTCCGCTCAACGTAATGGATATGTGCCAAGATGGGACCTCCCCCAACAAAAAGGTGTCCGTTTAGTCTTCCTTGCTCGGCGCTTAATGACCCAAGACGACACCCTCAACTGCTTCGGTCGCCTCGAGGATTTGGGGTGCGACCGATGGACTCGAAGCCATCAAGTTAAAGCGCGTTTTTTGACGCCTAGCATGAACTAACCTCCCAGTGCTTTGGTTTTGTGGGTTCTTCCAATGTTTGTGGATGATCAATGCTGGATGAAGAGTGAACAGTGAGATTGCGGCAATCGTCATAGGAGCAACGATTGTGTACTTGTTGTAGCGCTTGGGCGGCTGCCGGCCTCGGCCAGGGCCTATTGGATTTAGAGGCTTCCTTTGATCTCCATTCTTACTCCACGGCTGGGCGTGCGGAAGCTGATCTTTTGTTTCTTGCCACGCCTGAGCTTAACGCGCTTTCTCTGGCCCAGGAGATCCGCGCAGTGCCTTCATATCCAGATACAACATGGACGCAGCCGCGAAAGATCGACTGAATGGCGTCTTGCCAAGGCCGAACAGGATCGTCGTTTCTGCCAGCTGCGTGAAGGTATCCGCTCGGCACTGAAGGACGCCGCAAAGCTGGGGGCCAGGTGACTTTCCACACAGCCGCGCTCTACGCGCACGGAACAGGGCTGGGGCGCGTGACTGTATGGCAGCTTGGCTGCGCAAGCGCCTCAAGCGCAAGCCTGAAGCGCTGGGTGAAGATTCAACAGGCTGGCCAGCCGTGAGCTGGGGCCAGGTGAAGACTGAGAAGAGTTGTTGTCCAGATTGAAGATCCCTGCGATCTAACGAGATCTGACCGTTTCCCGGCCCTGGGGGCCGAGGCGAATTTAGCCTCGTCTTTGATCTGGGCAATGGTTACGCCTCACCATGGACGCCAATAATTTTCCTAGTTAAGAGCGTTACCTGAAAAATGCATTGCATTTCGGCCAAAGGCGCACCGCACCTATGCCAGATTCGAAAAATTCGTTAAAGGTGGGTTTGGGCTGCATGTTTCAAGGGACCCTCCCTGCCCGCACATTCAGCAAATCGAGTTTTCTGATTGGCTGGGGCAGTCTCACCACAGGACCTGATTGGCGTCCTATGCCCCGCGAGAACACTCGCGGCGCGAATGGCGCAAACCAGCACCTTGGTGGAATTCGGAGGGGCTCAGATGATTTGAGGGTAGGGGGGGGCATGGATGTGCTTCTTTTCCGTGTAAGCTTTTTCGAGGGGATCCCATCCTTTTGAGACAACATCATGGGATCTCTAAGCATGGTGTTTGTAGCCAGCCAAAGCAGGTTCCAATTTCTTTCTTTTCCTCCCGGGGAGTAGTGTACAGGTTCGGTTTGCCAACTCCATATCTTGAAGGGCATCGGCCTCGCCACAACCTCCTGGGGGCGGGTTGTTTCCCCATTGTGGTTGGTTGTTGCGGACAATTTTAGTAAGAATGGCCAGCAAAATGGACACCAGCCACTTAGGCTCATTCGAGGGCAGATTCTAAAACTCCCCAGTTTGTCAGGCGGTGGCCAAAAGTGACTTTTCATCAGCGGACAAGACATGTTCTGCTCGGCTCCAGTGATTTCCTCGAACGTATCAGATTTGCTATTGAGCCCCCCAAAAAAAGGTAGCGCCGGAAACCGGCCTTGCCTTTGACTCTGAACAGGTGAATCTGCATACGGGTTTTGCCATGAGCATGCAAGTGCTTGGGTCACCATTTGGGATGAATTTGTGGTAGTTGAGACATGTCTGCCCTGCACAAGTGGCTATGCGTTTTGACAAGGAGAAGCCACAAACATGGTGCGTGGAGATGAGTCCTGACCCAATGTCAAATGCAATTAAAATTCATACCCAAACATGAGAACAACTTCTTCCAGCCTTGTGTTTTAGCCCCCTCTTGTGTGCTTTGTGCTCTGATTGAATGATTCTCTGTTGGCCGCCGCCTCTTGCATGTGAAGAAGCGTGGGTGTATTTCGCGTTTTTGACAGGTGGGAGAAGACTGAGAAGTGGCAGCCGATGGATACCTACAAGGAAATCGAGATACCGTGGGGGATTGGTGCGTACTTTTGTGAGGCTCACCCAAATAGGTCGGTTTAAGGGGCAACCACCCATTGACCCACTCCCATGTACCGGGGTTCTGGGTGGTGACCTGTTTGGATTTGATATTGACTAGGAACCAAATGGCTAGTTATTTTGTTCAATCCAATCAAACAGGGAATTATAAGTCGACTGGCGACCAGATTCAACCTCCCCCAAGCAAGAAGACGATCCGGCTCGAAAATGGGACACCCCCAATTGATCAACCTTCCCCTTTAAAAGGCCGCGCGTAGAGTGCAACATAACGTCGATCCGTTGGGATGCTTCTTGAATCCGCTTGACCCCTTGGACCCTTTTGTTACCTTTTTGTAATATATGTTCCTTCTGGAACAAGGACCGGGTTGAGCACTCTGACAATGATTAAAGTGAGTCTCACTGCTCGGGGGTAGAACGAGTGAGCCCCAGATGAAGTTCTTTAAGTTTTTAGCCAAGCACCCAGCCCTCGAACAGCGCCGGAGTCCTGCGATGTTTCCCTTGCGGAACGGTGAAACCATCATGTTTTCTAGTCCAGGGGTTGATTCCTTGTCCATTCTTTTCAACCATCGTTCTTAAAAAAATAATAATAACACGATCGCTGGTTCCCTGGGTTTTGATGGTTTCCTGAAAAGAAGGATCCCTGGAAAGAATGGGGAAGGTAGCCCTAGAACTAAGGCCACTTTCCTGTGGCGTTTGCTTTTTTGTATGTAATGTAGCTAACATCTTGCAGGAGAGTCAGCCTTTTCAGGGGCAGCGCAAGCGACTTAAGCATATGGAGGCAAAGTGATAGTCTTGGGAGCCAGCCGCAAGAAGGGTTTTTCCCACCACTTTGCCAGGCCAAGATGCCCGAGAAGCGCGAAGGCGGGTACAACCTCAACGGGGTGAACACAAGCGGCGTGACGGGTGCAACGGGCCCGGCCGGCGCGAGTCTGTGGCGGAAATAGCAGCGGTGGCAGGGTTCCATTTGGGGTACCTATTTTTGTCCCCCTGCCGCATCAGGGAAACCGACTGGCAGGGATACAGGTGGAACCAGGGATACGGGAGGATTCCCCCTAAATGCACCTTGACTAAGTTTGATATGGGAAATGGCGCCAAGGGAATCCCCCCATATCCCGGCTCCCTCCGTATCCCCGCTTGTTCGTTTGTCCAAACACACCGATTTACCTGGAGCCTCAACTTGGGGATCCAAGTCCGATTCCCAACAAGAAGTTCCATGAAATGAGTGCTCCAGATGGTTTCTATGGGACAATCCCTCAACCAGGTGTTGACCAAAAGTAGATCCCTTTTAAGGGGTAAGACGTGGCAGTCATTACTCCCAGATCAACACAGCCAAAAACGGGATCGATCTCCCAGGAGGAAAGTTCGTTTCGAGCGGTTTGGCTTCCACACCAGAAATCTAAGGTGGCTTACATGGGTTGGGTCATATGGGCTTGTCTCGAACCAGGGGATCTGCAAAATGACGCGTTTGCTTTTGGTTTTCCCTTTGAACCAACAAAACAGTATCCTCAAAGAAGGAGACGCCCGCATAGCCACACGGACCCTCTGAGCCTCTACTCACTGCCTGAGTTCCTGGACTTTCAACTTTTTGGGAAGACCGGTTTACACGCTTCATCTCAGGAAACAAATGGCTGTGGGTCAAAAATAGGTACCCCAAATTGAACCCACGTGGAAACATGGACCAAAACCTGCGGTCCTGGTGGTTCATTTTGACCCATACCCAAATGGCCCTTTGAAACCCCTGCTTCTGGAACCGAACCTCTAGGCTCTGTCTCAAAGAATCCGCAAAGCTGGTTCTTTCCGTTTTTTTTTAGAGTCCCACTCCCAGAAACAAAAAACGTACCAGTAAGAAGGACACCGATGAACTCCTGAACATGTATGCTCTGGGGGCAGCAAGGGACACTTGATGGGACGCTTTGGGCAGATCCCTTCTCAGCCCCGACGCAGTTTCAAGAAAGGCTCAGGAAGCATCTTGGTGGCTGCCCTTCCCCAAAAAGGGTTCCCGTTTTTTTCTAGGGCCTTAGGGTCACTGAACAACTGAGCTCTTTGGGTGGAAGCAGACATCTTGAATCCTCTCATTCAACATCTCCTCGTGGGGAGGTGACAACTTGATGACCTTTTGACTCCAAGTCCGCGAAGGGATATGCTTCCTGGTGGTTCCCAGCCATTTTCTCAGACGTTTCAAGTGTTTAAGTGTTTCGTGGTTTAACCCCCAAGCTCAGAGCTTTTCGGCAGTTCCGGCGAGGCTTGGCACCCGACTCGACCAACAGCTCAGGAAGTGGGACTGGAAGACCCCGGAGAAGCCTGCAGACCCCCGCGGTCCCACGCCCCGCACGAATCCCTCGCCTCCCTCGCCGCCCTCCGCTGTGAACTCCGCCACCTCCCGGGCCACGACGAGTGCGACGCCGCGACAAGAAAGGCCGAGGGAGGGGCGGAGGGGCGCGGGGATGGAGACGTTCGGCTAGCTGGGAATCCGCGAGAGTCCAGAAACATGGCCCGGCCGAGGGGGATTCCAGGATGGAAAAGTCGGAGTGTTCGGAATCCGAGGCCCAAAATGGGCCAGAACGGTCAGCCAAAGACCATGGGGACATCCGCAAGTGTTTTTCTTTTTGTGTGTGTGTGTGTGTTTGCGGTGTTCGAGGACCCTGCTACGTTCCTCAATTTTTCCAGACCCTATTCAGCACCCAGCATAGCGACACAAGCACACCACATTGATAGTAATGACACACATATTTTTTTTTGAGTGCGTATAGTTATGCACAACTAAACCACCAAGACGACCAAACCAACCAAACAGGGAAACCGGAGAGCCAAGCAAACAAAGAGGCCTTACCAAAGAAGGCCCAACAAGGCCAAACCTACTCCAGCATCCAAGCATGCCCAAAAAATCGGAAAGAAAACACACCTACGGTGTTTCGCACTCCCGCAAGAACATGCCACAACGGCATACACCAGAAAAAGAACGTCCAAAAGAAGCCGGTCCTTAAAGGGGGGCAACGGCTTTGATGTCACGGCACGCGGTTCCAAGCCGCTCCAAGCCTCCTTAAGCCCACCTCTCGTCAAGCTCGAGGCCGGAGGTGCGGCCCAAGGTGGAGTTCGCGGATCCGAACTCTCTGGCGGCGGAGTTGGACCAGTGCTTCTTCCGCCAGGCCTTCGGAGCGGCGTCGGATCGGCGGATCGGCGGCGGATCGCCCTCCCGTGGGCTATCCGGTTCCTGAGCTTTTGTTGGATTTTTGTCTTTTTTGAGGTGGAACAAGTGGGTGACCGATCGGGTGGGGGGTAGGAGCAAAACACATGCAGCTCCTTTACTTGGAAGTCCGATTCTTAATTTCGCTCTTGGGATGGTGAAGACGGCAATCCCTTGGCACGAAGCAACAAGCGCCAAGGCTCCAAATCAAGTTGCGGGTGCTCAAGTTCCAGGTTGTTTCTTGGCCAAATGACCAGGGATGGTTTCTGGGGTTGAACCACACTTCCAGACATAACCTCGGTTAGAATATACATATATATATATATATCATATATATATGCATATATCAATATATAATGATATATAAGTCCTTGGTTGAGGGTTGAACGTCGACCAGAGGGAGAAAACAACACTTTTTGCCTTTATGTGGGCTGGGTCAAGTACAAGGTGGAACAGCCGTGTGCGTGTGTATGTGTGTGTGTGTGTGTGGCATCCCACTGAAGCCATTTCACCCAAGCCATTGGGTTCGTGTCTTTTCTTCTCTCTCCTTTGTTTTGAGGGGGGGTTGAGTGGACCCGACTTCTATACATCTCATTTTTCTTCGGGGTTGAGTTACTTTGACTTGTAGAAACCTCATTTTTTTCGTGGGGTCCCGGCTGACGGTGTCCTCCGCTTCCTACTGCCGTTCGAAATCCGCGAAGCGACCGCCAGGCGTAGGTGTCCTTTTTGGTTGTTTTGGTCAAAATTAGATGGCACTGGTTTACCTGGTGGTTTAATCTACCAGGGCCGCTCCAATTCGATTGATTTAGGGCCTTACAACCTGGTTTTGAGACCCCCAACTGCCAATTCCCAGAGTCTAATGGAGCGGGTCTTCCAGAGAAAGCCGAAGCCAGGAGCCTCTGGGTAACACATATGTCCAATATAGGTTTTCACATAGACTTCAACCTAAATCTGTTTATCCGGGCAAAAGACATATCCGGATGCGCATGCTTTCCCAGATCCATTTTTAGCTGGTTTAGGTAACCAAGGGCACCACCCGATATAAAAACCAACAGGAAAATCGGACGCCCATCCGCAAAGCGCCAGGTCTCCACGCAATCGGCGGCCTCCAACCGCGCGGCCAGCGCTCCCCGGGTCCGCGGCGCCAGCCCGGAGCGCCAGATCTCCGGCAACGCGCACCCGCTGGCGCCGGCCACGCCGCTGAGCTCAACCTTTGGCGCATTTTGCCAAGGGATGTTAGGACTGAATAACTTGTCGATCCAACGTTTGGATGTTTTCCGAATCAAACCACTAAAAGTTGAGCTTGTAGCAGGGGAGCAGAAAGCAACCCAGTAAGGAGAGAGGGGAGAGGTGGAGTTGTTTTTGTTCCCCTGTTGGTTTCAAGAGAATCTATCACTAATCGCTTCTCCCTAATAAACACCGGCTTGGGGGAGTTTTATTAGGGGTAGGTTGATTAATAGGAAGAAGGAATTGCTGCTTCTTCTTTTTTTTTCTCCGGGGGTCTTAACCAAATGGAAGAAAGAGAGGTGAGAGGTGGCTGGAGTTGATGCCTTAAAAGGAGCCCCCCTGCGGCACAACTTGCTGACAAGTCTCTAAATATAGGAAAGAGCTCATTCATCGGCCAGGGCAAGGCCTATTTTCCGACTTTCTGTTTCAGAAAGGTGCTATTCCAAAAATACCCACATCATTGTTTTTTTGAATCCAGACCACGCAGCCATCCAAGTATCCAATTATTTACTTAGCTCTGCACCAGCTTGAATATGGGGGAGCTCATGTATCGGCCGGGGCAAGGCCTACTTTCCAACTTTCGGTTTTAGAAAGCTGGGGGTCGCAAACAATGCAAAATTACATTGAGAAATGCATTTCTTGGAAGGAATTCCCCGACATTTCCCCCCCCGCCCCACCGCAATGTCGGCCACTGCTTGGGACTCGGAACGTCGGAACTCAACTCCTTTTGCGCTGAGGGTGCCCACGTCGCGGTTCAAGGGCGTGAACCAGGCCACGGCCCTGAAGCTCTTCATGAAGTGATGGCAGGCGCGATGAGTTGGGGGGTTGGGGGGGGGGTTGTTGGGGGTTTGTTGTGGGTTTGTTGTGGGGTTGAGGGGCGAGGTGCACGGAAAAGTCCACGGCAGGTACCCTCCACGTGCCTTGTGGGAGGAAGGGGACATTTGCCGGCTGTGAGGCAATGCGCAAGATCCTTGCTTTGGATAGCGGCTTTGGTCGGTCCCTTTGGATCCCGGTTTTCCAATGGGGGTTACGAAATATGATTGGCCAGCACTCGATTTCGGACAGCCCAGTCTGTCAACTTGTTGGGACAGCCGCCGTAGAGGGTATCTCATTGAGAGACCTTGTTGATTTGCCGGAAACCCAACGGCACATAGTCTTCAAACAACCTCGCGTCAGCTTCCAAAATGGGTGTGGCTTAAAACTAATCAGGAGGGGTAACGCAGGTTTTGGCCCATTTTTCCACTTACCAGGGCAACCCATCTTGGTACCAGTTTTTTGAGCAGCCAAATGGAGCTCAGCTTGTTCATGTGTGGCCTTTTGGGCTTTCCTTCATTTTCCCTTTCAAGTGGGTCTCAAAGTCGAGTGGCTGGAGGCTCCGTGAGGGAATCAGCCAAACAGCTCCATGGACATTCGGATTGGGGGTCTTTGCTATAGCTCGTAAGAGGTGCCGATCCAAGTTTGCTGCTCGGTCTCTTTGAAGGGTCTGCTTAGTTTGGGAAGGAGTTTCCGTGTTTCCCCCAATTGTCGGTTGAGGGTCTTCATATTGATTCAAGGAGGGTGTCCTTGATTGTTCTCTTTTGCGTACACCATCCCCACAACTCACCAGGATTTCTGTATGGACAAAAAAATACGCACGCGAGGTGAGACTCGTGAGCGTGGAATGGACCGGACGAAACATCGGCAGGAAGTTGGAGGTTGGGGCGCCAGCTGGGCAGTTGGACTGTTGAGCGAACTCATGGTTGTTGTGTAGACACATTTATTATTATTATTATTATTATTATTATTATTATTATTTTTTTTGCTTCTTGCGGTTTAGTGATGGAAAGCCAAATCCCTTCTAAAATCTAAGACTCAAATTGTTGCTCCCCAAACCCAACCTCAAGAAAAAACGCCCCAAGAAAGGCTGCGCCCAAATTGTTTTTTGGGGCAAGACGACGCCTTTTTGTTTTCTCTGGTGCATCTTGCCAAGGGCTGTTAGGACTTCAACTTTCTGATCCAACGAATTTGGGTTTTCCTTGAACTAAGCCACTAAAAGTTGGTCACTTTTAGCAGGGCTTCGCAGAAAGCAACCGAGTTTTGGAGTTTTCCAAGCGTGTCACAACAGAAGCCACCAGTAAATTGATGCACCCTCCCGGGGAAATCCAAATTGTTTTTTTTTTTTTCTCCCAGGAGAGGCACGTTGGGATCATGAGGAGACCCTCTCAAGGCACCCCTGCCGCCAGGCGCGGCACAGCTCACGCCGCAAGACATGCGTTTGGAGGGTAATTTTCACCAGCGGCAAACCGGAGGCTTGGGGGATGTGGGGGGGGGGGGGGGTAAAAAGACACTCTCAAATGTTGTGCTTGTTTATGTTGGAAATGTGATTGTCATTGGGAAACACAAGTTATATTTATTTTAGGTGGTCCAAGTATTCCGATGGCTCTTGTAAAGGACATGAGAGAAGCAGGTTGCTCCTTCTGGACAATTGAGTGGTTTCAGAGCTCGCTCACTGGCTCTTGGGAAAATTACAATGAGTGTTCACTTCTTCCTTCCCAATGGGTCATTGATCACGGGACTCCAAGTTGCAGTTGTTGTTGACACTGCAATGTTCCACTGATCGTGCTTTGGAAGGTCTTGCTTGAAGATGACAGGTATCTCACGTGAGTCTCACAAAGCTGCTTGACCTCAACATTCCATGCTTGTTTTTGTTTGTTTTGTTTAAGCGTCGCTTATCATTGCCGGCTGCGATGGGTGAAGTATGATTTTTCACCAGCAGTGCAAGAGCGGCTACCCCCCTCGGACTTCCTGTAGTGACTGTGCGGAAAGCGTGTTGCAAGAACATTGCAGACGTGTCGCACGTGTGGCGAAGCGCCACACAGTGTGGCAGAGTAGCAGCGGTGGCCAGTGGCCAGTGGCCATGTCCAGAAAGGACTCAGGGGTGTGGCACACAAGTGTCTGGACGTAAAAGTGCGACCTATGTCCAAATTGCTAAAGGCATGTTCAACATTCAACCCTTTACTTCAAGAGGAGCCCCCGCCCCCCTATTAATAGACTGGGGGTTGATGAATATGGGGTCAACATTACCCATTCTCAATGTGCAATATTATGAGTCTTCCCGCACGTGTGAGAGCCATGCCCCTTGCCCGCGGCGAAATGAGTGTTTTTGCCTTCCGACCTTCCATCGGCGCTGTTCGCTACGAGCGCGCGCTTCGATGGAACGTCCGAGTGGCGCGGGCGAACGGACACTTTTTGAACTGTCTCAAGGCTGGTTACCTGGTTGGTGGATTCTTGCTCCTTGGCTCCTTTACACCAAAGGCGTGCGGCCGACCCCTTCTGGAAGATCAGACCTTTCCTTTTTCGGCATCAACTTGGGGGGACACGTGCCCAGGAAGGGCACCCAACACACGTGCCCTTTGGCGTTGTCGCGGAAGTCTGTACGGGTGTTTGCACACTCTGGAAACACAACCCTGCCACACGTGGACATATTTTTCTTCGCAGACGTATGCACCCAGCGCCGGCCGTCCCGTTGTGAGATGAGGGGAGAACTGCTGGGGTTTCCTTATTTTGACTCCGGATTGACTTCCATTTGGTTAAGAATATTTTGCATTTTCTCCGTTGGTTTTAACGGGAATCTATCACTACTGGACATATTTGTTTGTTTCCAGGGGACTTAAGCAAATGGATGTTGAGATCGTGGAAGGTGATCTCGTCAGTCAGAGACAGATGGGGACCCACAGCTAAAGGCTCAGGTCGATCCAAGCAAAGCCGGGCAAAGCTCGGCGCGTCTCAAAGGCTTGCTCCGAGGCTCTCAACAGCACCGAGCCCGAAGGGAAAGTCAACGGTGCCTTCCAGCCATGCGGTTCCTGAAGTTTTTTTTTTTTTTTTGCTTGTTGAGTTAGTTTGGTGGGGGTGTCCATTTAAGATGCCATGTCACATCATTTCACCCACAAGTTAAAACTTTTCGCAGGGGATCTCAGGCGAGGGCAGCCCAGCTTCGGTTTGTGGGAGGAACCACCTCTAGGTCCCCCAGTAGTGTTCTTTTACCCTTTGTTGCAGGAGGGTTCCCCTACCAAAATAGACTACAGAAAAAAGGGTACCCTTGTTCTAGCCTCTCTACCGGAGGACCTAGACCTCGCGAAAGAGCACAGCATCTCCTTAATGATGTGCGCTAACCTAGGTCCCCCTGTAGTGCCCTTTTACCCTTTTTTTTGGGGAGACTAAAATAGACTATACAGAAAAAAAAGAATACCCTTATTCTAACCTTTCTGCTGGAGGACCCAGACCTCGCGAAAGAGCACAGCAGCTCCTTAATGATGTCCGCTAACCTAGGTCCCCCTGTAGTGCCCTTTTACCTTTTTTTGGGGGAGACTAAAATAGACTATACAGAAAAAAAAGGAATACCCTTATTCTAACCTTTCTGCTGGAGGACCTAGACCTCGCGAAAGTGCACAGCATCTCCTTAATGATGTGCGCTAACCTAGGTCCCCCTGTAGTGCCCTTTTACCTTGTTTTTTTTTGGGAGGGTTCTCCTACTAAAACAGACTACAGAAAACAGGGTACCCTTATTCTAACCTCTCTACTGGAATACCTAGACCTCGCGAAAGAGCACAGCATCTCCTTAATGATGTCCGCTAACGGACGCCACGATGGGATGGACGTGTTTGCAGGCATTTTGTTCACCCGGAAAGCTTACGGAAAACACGTCAACAGCGTCCGTCGGTGAGCAAGGTACCCAAAGATTCAGGGACCCCAGTTTTTGCGGTTTTTCATTTTTTTTTTTTTCAGGGGGAGGGGGGGGTTGTTGGAAACGGGGCTCAAAGGGCCGGCAATTTGCAAGGGGCACACCACCCAAGCGGGTGCTTGTTTTTGAGGTATTTGTGAGAGGGGGTCGGCACAGATGTGCGAAAAAATCTTAAGATGCACTGGCATGTCCAAACATGGACCACAACGCGAACTTCCTTTTTTTTTGCACGGGGCGGTTTGTTTGTTTCGAGCCGCACTGGGAGGTTTGATACCGTGTGATGGCATAGAATCCTAGGTCTAGTGTTGAACCATGACCAAGAGAAAGAATTGGTCTTTGGAGCGAGCCGGTTATCAGCTCGCCCGAAAGCTTTCGGGGGCTTGCCGCACGCCGCAACTTGTGGCCCGCTGGCCATGTCGGGCACACCCGTTCAAGGCATTTTCAAGCCAGGCTTCGAAGGATTGGGCTGATTGCCCCGTGTTTAACCACATCAGCCAGTTTTTGTGCGAGCCTTGTCTTTTTGGATCCTCCAAAAGCAGAGATCGTTTCAAGGGACACCGCCAGTACATTGCAACTGTTCATTGGGAAATCTGGTGACCTTGAGCGGAGGGTCCTTTTTCGGGCTGGTATTCAACTTTCATTGTGCCGCAACTTGCAATGAGCTTCCAAGCAGCTGGCAGCAATCTGGGAGGGTAACGCCAACCACTCAAATAGCAGCGAGCAGTCAGCATACGGGAGGGAGGAGCGTGGCCCTGCAGGTTCCCTTGAAACAACCGGAGCATCAAATGTCAAACTTGGTTTCTCAATGTTTATTCTTCTTCCAGTCAGGGCGGTGTGCGTCAAACATCTATTCAACTTGAAGCAAGGGCTTGATCGGTTTGAGAAGCGCGGGGCGTCTACTATACACCTTGCTTTACGGAGATGAAAAGCAGAGGCCTACGTATGTATACCTTTACCATGTTGGTACAAGTATACAAAAATGAGCTTGGGATCCCCATTGCTTCTTTGATGGTCTTTTTCAGAGAGGCTTGGTCAACTGGATGGGTGTGAAGCGCCAGTGTGGTCCCTCACGTGCTTGCGGACAGCAAAAGAAGAAAGGTGGCGGGCGAGCCAGCGGCTAACGGTGTTTGGTTGTCAAGCACTCGCATGATTTTCATTGCTTTGTTCTCCCGCTCGCTTTGGCGTTCGGATAATCTCTATTTAGTTTGGATTCCTGAAATTTGAACCCCTGGCAACTGGGAACCCATCCCCTAACCAAGCCAAACCGAACCAAACCAGGTGTGTGCTTTATTGACAGTATCCGTTTTGGTAAAGGAAAACCCGAGGACAAATCCACGATAGAGGTCCCCACCCCCCCGTTTGTCTCAAATATGGGGGCCCAACAGAAATGGTCGGCTTCCTTTGGTTTCGTTTGACAACCCAATCTCGGGTTCCCAGGAGAACCCCTGCACCTCCACGAACTGATTCAGAACAAGCTGAGGCACAGGCTGAAGCTTCAGCTATCATTGTCTCCTCTTTTTCCTCAGCACTCTCCGTTCCAATTCTCACTTCAGAAGAACTGTCTCCTCCTGCAAGCACGCTCGCAACGATCCAAAATCAGCACCCCCCCGACCCACCATATTCCACCGGCCCCCAACCGCTCGCGCTCCACCTTGGGCGCCTCGTCCTCGGGTCAGGTGGACTTCCGCAGGCTTCAGAGCAACGACATCGTGGAGATCCTAAACGTCCTGGGCATCGAGGCCGTGCGCAAGGCGCGGCCGGCGCGACTCACCCGGGCGTCCTGGAAGTCCCTTTTTTCACCCGAAGGAGTTTTTTTTGTCGGACGGGGCCTCGAAGAGTCAAAGAAAGCACCACCTGGAGCCCCGCAAGGCCACTGTTGGTCGGTCAAAAGGCGTATTGTTTTTTGTTTTTGTGTTGTTTCCCCGGTCATTTTGGGGCTCGGTCCAGGCAGAAGTTGCTGGTGGCTGGTCGTTTTTTGTTTAAGAGGGTACAAATGTGTGTGTGTGTGTTTTGTTTGTGTAAGGCAAACCGCAAGGAACACTTTTTTTTTGTTTTCCGTTTTTTTTGTTCCCCCCGTTTTTTGTTTCCCCCGAAGATGGCTGCGGTGTTGCTGTTTTTGCCGTTTCCCTTCGAACGGCCAAAGGTAGCCTCAAGAAATGATAGACCCCCTATGGCTAGGACAATGAAGTGGGACCGCCAAGCTCAAGTGGGTGGACATGAATCTGCTTGACGGAGTCTTGATGTTCACCATTGGATCCCAAATATATAACTGTCTAAGGTTTTGATTTGATGCCCCAATCTCTTCGCGCTCTTCACCCATCGTTCTGGTTAGAAACCAGGTCTTCATTCTGTTTTCCTTAAGAACCACGCGCCAAAAAGCCGTCCTTGGACCAAAGTAGACCCAAGCCCGCCGTTTCCGGCGAGAAGAGTAGCTCAGCCGCGCCTTGGGGAAGTCAGCTTGGCTACTCCACACATTTGGAGAAAAGGGCGCAAGCGCGCCGTCCCCAAGAGCCAGTGGCCCACAAAGCATAGAGGTGTCGCAGATGGCTGAGTACTCTTTTGAGGGTGATCTTTAG